CAGTGCTCTTAACCGCTGAGCCATCTCTCCAGCCCAGAGATATGTACTTTAAAATGAAAGTAAAGAAACAATATTACAAACCATAAGAAGAAAAAAAACGCACAAATCCCCTATGAAGTAGAAACATGAGAATACCTCCAGCTCTCTTGATCAACAACCTTCAAAATCAGGAAACCAAGAAATAAAATATATTCTAAGCTGGTAAAGAAAATAACTACCAATGAAGGCTGTCATATGCTAAAAGATCTATCTTTAATAATTGGCAATGAGGGCTGGAGAGATGGCTCAGCAGTTAAGAACACTGGCTAGTCTTCTAGAGAAACTGGATTGGATCCTCCAGCATCCATGTGGCAATTCTCAACCATATTTATGTACAGTCCTAGGGAATCTGATGCTTCCTTCTAGCTTGTAAAGACATCAGAAACACACAGCCTGTAGTCTACAGCCATAGATACAAGCAAACACCCATACCAGAAAAGAAAGGATTAGCAGTGACATGAAGGTGTTTCCAGACAAGCACAAATTCAAGCAACTGCACCATGCAAAAAAGAACAAAAAAATAAAACAAAGTCAGAAGAAACAAAGAGGGCCGCTACATATTAATAAAGGGAGCAATTCATCAACAAAGTATGTCCACCAAACACTGGAGCTCCCAATCTCATACAATAAATACTAGTGTGCACATAAAATGTCAGATAGTTCCTGATCCAAGAATCATAAGTAACTTCAATATCTCATGTCTAGATAGGCCATCAAAACTAAAGATCAGAAATTAATGAAGACTAAAGAAGCAATATACAGAATCAGTCAAGGATTTGGTTCTTCATGGGGCAGAGGATGTAGCTCAGTTGGATTTTTGAAAAAAAAAGATGAGATCAACAAATCTTTAGCCAAACTAAGGAAAAGAAAGAGAAAAGGAGAGCTAACTTATTAAAATTAGAGGTGGAAAGGCAGGGGAGGGGAGCACTATGAAAGCCAACAAAATAAAAAAGCCACCATTAGGGAGCTCCTTGAAAAACATGTTCCAAAAGACTGGAAAATCCAAAAGTGGACAAATTCCTAAAAACATATAAATAACCAAAATTAAATAAGAAACAACTTAAAGAGACCCCTATCAACCATTGGAAATGAATCAAGACCAAAGTCTCCCAAGAAAGAAAAGAGGGATTAACTGCTTAATTCTAGCAACCCTTTAAAGAAGAATACCAATGCTCCTCAAACTGTTTGAATAAAATAGAAACAGAAAGAATACTATCAAACTCATCCTACAAAGCCAGCATCAACCTCATCAAACCAAGAGAGAAATCCATAGATTAACTATCCTGATTAACACAGATACAAAAATACTCAATAAAATTCTTGCAAGTGCAATTCAAAAACACAATAAGAAAATAATATGTCCGGGCAGTGGTGGCGCACGCAAAAAACCAAAAAAAAAAAAAAAGAAAAGAAAAAGAAAATAATATGACCAAGTTGATTTTATTCCAGAAATATTATCTTGGTTTAAAATATACATATAAGTGCATATAATCTAGCACATAAATAGACTTAAGGACAAAAACAAACAATGTCTCAATCTACGAGGAAAAGATTTTCAGCAAAGTCCAACAACACTTCTCCATCTAAGAGCCCTGAAGAAGCAGGAATAGATGAAGCATAGCTTAATAGAACAAAAGCTATATACAACAAACCTATATCAGCATTTTATTAAAGCCCCGAAAACAGACTTCCTCTTAAATCTAGAATGAGGCAAGGCTGTCCATTCTGTATACCCTTATTAACTACAGTGCGTAAGGTTTTAGCTAGAGCAGTAAGGTACAAGAAAGAAAAAAGAGATACAAATAGGACAGGAAGAAGTCAAATTATTACGATCTGCAGGCTACATGATTCTGTACTTAAAAGACCCTGACTATCCTACCAGAAAGCTCTTAGGTAGGATCAAAAGAATAGGATAGAAAATCAACATGCAAAAAGCAGTACCTTTTATTTATATTTTTTTAAGTTGTGTGTTATGTGTGGTATATTCATGTGAGCCTGTAGCTCACCAACAGGCTTGACTGGCTGGCCAGTGAGCCCCACAATCCTGCTGCCTCTCCTGCCCAGGGCTAGGTTACAGACACATGCTAGGACTTCTTTTTTCATGGGTGCTGAGGATCCCGACTTAGGTCCTTATGTTTTTGTACTTTACCCACTCACTAAGCAGTCCCTTAAGCTCTTAAAATCAGTAACTCTTCTATATATCAATAATAAACTTGCTGAAAAATTGGGGTGGGGGGGCTTCCATTCACTAAAGCATAAAACCAACCTAGGAATAATCTAACCAAAATGCGAGGAGATCTCTATAGTGAAAATTTTAAAACACTGAAGAAACTGAAAACAGAACTAGGTGGAAAGATCTCCTATGTTCAATGGCTGGACCAAATTAATATCATGGAAACGGGTGTATAACTGAAAGCAATCAACAGGTTCAATGAAGATCCATCAAAATTCCAAGGAGATTCTTCACAGAACTAGAGAAAGTAATCCTAAAGCTTACATAAAAGTATAAAAGTTATCAAATAACTTACACAGCAATTAGCATAAAGAACAACACTGGGACTATCACAATATCTAATCTCAAATTATATTACAGAATCACAATAGCAAAAACTGCATGGTACTAGCACAAAAGCAGATATGTAGGTTAATGGAATGGAAATAGGGGACCCTGAAGTAAACTAGACTGTTATAGCCACCTGAGTGTTGGCTACACTGCAAAAAAGACACACTGGTGAAGCCAATCTCTTTGACAAACACTGAGAAGATGGACTTTCGCATGCAGCATGGAACGATATCCATATTTCTCACCCTGCACAAGTCAATTAAAAAATGGAGCAAAGTCCTCAATTTAAGATATGAAACTCTGAAAATGCTAAAAAGAAAAAAGACAGAGAAAATAGTGCAATACAGAAGGAAAGATTTCCAAACAGGAATCCAATATCACAGAAAAGCTCAAAAACTTATAAACAGATTGTGAGAAATTATGAGTCTCTGACAGCAAAGGAAATAAACACAGTGTAAAGAGATAGCCTACAGAATGGGGAAAAAAAAGATTTTGCCAAAACATATGTGTATGAGACAACGGATTAATTTCCAAGATATATAAAGAATAGCAAAAATTAGTCCCGCCTCCCTAAACCATACAGTCACAACTAACTGAAAAACAAAAAACAAAACCAGGGCAGTGAGTAAAAGCTCTTCCCATTACATTGTACTCCTGAGTTCAACCCCCAGAACCTACATGGTAGAGAGAACCAAATCCCACGTTATCCTCTGACCTCCATACATATGCCCACAATCACACAAAACAGATACATAGGGGGAAAACTACACAAACACAAATGCTCAGTAAAGCTTGAAAAAGTATTCAACAACATCAGCTCTCAGGGAAAAATACAAGGAAACTTATGCAGTAACTATGGAGATCAGTGTGGAGGTTCCTCAAAAAACACACAAACAAACGAAAAAACAGAACCATCATCAGATGCAGACACACCATTCCTTGGTCTGTAGCCAAAAGAGTCTTAAATCAACACACAGAATACTTCCACATCCACCCTTATAACTCAAGTATTCACAGTAGCCAAGGAATGGAAGCAGCCTACACATCCACCAACAGATATAGAAAATTTAGTATACACACACAATAAAGTTTTATTTAGCCTTAAGAAAAATAAAATTATGATATTTTCAGGAAAATAAATCAAGTAAAAATCAATTAGGCAAAATAAGCCAGATTCAGAAAAATGAAGACCACATTTTTTTTTCTCATATCTTAAACCTAAATTTAAAATTATAGCTGGGTCTGGTGGTCCATGCCTTTAAGAGCATGGCCTACCTGGTTTACAACAGCAAGTTCCAGGTCAGTCAGGACCACATAGTGAGACCAAGTCTCAAAAACAAGGAAAAAGTATAATCAGAGGATCTAAGCAAAGAATATTTGTGTATTGTGCAGGTTTTCTTTATTTCACTTTGTGAGTCTTAAAATAGTTTTCTCTTTTAATCACAAAGTTCAGTATAAGCTGTCTCTCCAACACTTGTGTCAGCATTCAGTCTCTCTCCCTGTAGACAGCTGAGTCACTAGACTTGTGTGCAAGTTTCCAGAAACTTTTTATACATACACCATTATCTTAATGTATAAATTCCTGCCATTTTACATAACATACACATTCTCCTGCTGCTTTCTTTCTTTTTTTAATCTACCAGTTTTTCTTGGAGACTGCTTCTTAATATTGTATAAAGAGGCTCTTTTGCTTTGAGTAAGAACTTTACAGTAACCCATTGCATGGCTCTGTTACAATTTATTCAAGTAGCACTTTATTTAGGGGCATGTAGCTTATTTTTCTAACACAAAAAATATGGAACTGAATTAAATAGGTAATTTTCTGTAGGTTCCTTTAGGTAAAATACCAAACAATTGTCCAAATGTGAGCAATGGTCATTCATAGATATTGAATCAATTTATAAGCATACAGATAAGTATCTAGTGCCTGGTGACTCACACTGACCATTCAATGCTAATTAGATATTTCTATCCTTGATAATTAGCAACAATGCTTTACTAAGGTAGTTTCAGTTGTCATAGGTGAGGTAAAATACCTTTTCTTAAATATGATCATCATTTACATACCACTTTTGCCTTCTTGTGGTCTGCATAAATGTTTTTCCAATTTTTGTTGTTGTCTGTTTGTGTTACTGTTGTTTCTGAGTTGGGGATCGCATGCTGTATCCCAGCTGTCCTGAAACTTGCTGTGGAGTCCAGGCTGACCTCAGGATGGTTAACACTTATTTTTATTTTACCTGTTTTTTTGTTTGTTTGTACATTGTGTGTACCCTGTGTTTGCCCTATCCACGAAAGCCATCTGAATCTAATGGGACTGGGGTTGTGGGACCCAGTTGGGAACAGTCATGTTGGTGCTGTAGTCAGCTTCTAGCATGCATGCTGGCGAGCTCAAAATCACCTGTAATTCCTTTTGTGAGGACTCTGCTGCTGTTCTCTGGCCATCACAGACACTTTCACACACAGGGCAAACATTAAAAGCTGGGGTGTGGTGGTATACACATCTAATTCAAACACCTGGGAGGAAGAGGCAGGCAAATCCTTGAGTTCAAAGCTAGCCTGATCCACATAGTGAGTTTCAGTTATTCTAAACAAACAAACATTATGTCTCATGATATTTGTCATTTCTAGTTCTCATGACAGTCACTTTCAAGGAGTATACATGGCTTCTTAGGAACTTGCCATGTGTCCCTTCCTGCCCTCTAACACTAGTTCTTCATGTCATTCAAGACTCCATGATTCCAAAAACAGAATAGATGCTCCTCCTACAAAATTTACAGTTTTATTGGTTCTTTTCTAATTTCTTTATTATAAAAGGGCACACATTAAAAGATTGTTTAAAAATGAACTAGAGATGTTCTGAATCTCTGGAACAATGACTAGGATTGTTCTGGAGGACAAAGTTCAGACAATAAAAGAATATAAAAGTATATAAAGACAATAAAAGCATATAAGAGACAATAAAAGAATATAAAATCATCTATCCAGATAATTAAAGTTGGAATCATATTTCCATCTAGATCTCCAAGTTCACTAATATTTATACCTTGCTCTCTTAAAAACGATCCTAATCATTTTTTTTCAGTAGGATTTAAGTAGGTTTTATTGTTGTTACTGTCATATTAAAACTCCCAACCACACACATACATACATATATATGTATTTTCTTGTACAGAATGAACCTAATTTTCTGCTTACTACTTTGAGAGTTCAAAATCTATAGCATCAAATGCAATTAGTTACTTTCTTTACCTTATTTGCCAGTCAAGAGCATAAACGCCTTAAATTCTTTGGCGGGGGTGGTAAGATAGTGAGCAACAAAATAGTTAAACAGTGCTATGAAGTTCCCCGGTGTATCTTTCTTGGTTTGGTAAGGAAAGCAAGAAGAACCACCTCCAGGTTCCAGCAAGTCGAATGGCAGCTCCCGTGCTACAAGATCATAGAATTCAAATAAAATATCGCAAAGGTCGTAGGCTACGTGGCGGCGGCACACGGGGAACGCTCCCTGAGGCCCAGTTCCTTAGTCCTCAGCTTTTTCCTGGCTTCTCAGAGCTAGAGGGTTGTAGCCACTGGAGAGAGCAACACCTAGTCCTGAAGGTCAACCAGGATGAGTTCGGGGTGGCATGGCACTGCTTTTAAACTGAACCCACATTGGCGGACAGTCGCCCGCTCTCTGCGCGCGTGCGCAGAGCCACCACGGGCAACCGAGGCATGCGGAAGAGCCTCCGCACCGACACTCACCCGACCATGAAGTTACGCGAGGAGGCTGGGCTACCGCGCTGGGGCACCCGAACGCAAGCGTTTCTAGGAAACGAACCCCACGAAAGCTCAGCCTCCCACCTCTCCACGTCGCGAAAAGAATCCTATTCCTTTTCCGGTCCCTCTCACAACAAATCCCCACCGGAAGGGTTCCGCCTCCCACACGCGCAGATGCCGGCTTTTGCATTTGCATTAGTTAGTGTGAATTTGTGGCCACTGTTAATTCGAGCTCGTCTATCAAATTATGTCTGCAATGAAATAATTAAATGTTCCTAATAAAAGGCCACGAATACCTACCTTCTTTTCCTACGAATCACGCCTTGCTGTTTTCAAAATAGTTCCTCAGACACGTGTGCATGCTAGGAAGACCCTGACACTAAAGCTTAAAATCAAGCATGGAAGGAAGCACTTCTTCAGAGAAACTCATTGTCCAAGGCGCTCAAGTACCACAGAGACCAAAAATCCGAATTTAAAGTATATTTTCTGAAGCTGACCTATTACTCTATCCAGGATACACCGTAAGTAGCAGAAAACTCGTAATACTCAGTTTAGACAAAGTTGATTTGAAATAGAAACGGGGTCAGTTCATAAGATTCTACTTCATACTAGTTCTTTTTTTTTCTCAATTTGACATTAATTAGATTCACCAGGAAATAGGGACCCTCACTTGAATTACCTTCATTAGACTGGACTGCGGTACGTTTGTGGGTCGTTTTTGTTTTTTGTTTGGTTTTTCGAGACAGGGTTTCTCTGTGTAGTCTTGGCTGTCCTGGAGCTCACTCTGCAGACCAGGCTAGCCTCGAACTCAGAAATCCATCTCCCTCTGCCTCCCAAGTGCTGGGATTAAAGGCGTGCGCCACCACTGCCCCCTTGACTAACGATATACGTCCCTAAGGGAGGGTCCAGCCCTTTGGAAGTGGAACTGGGTTCTGTTATGATCTGGTCCTGGCTTCCCTCAGTGATTGATTAGGATCTCTGAGCCAAAGAAACTCTTTTCTAGAATTGCTTTTAGTCAGTATTTTATCACAACAAAAAGCAAACCAGGAACCGTTTTTTAAAAAACTAAATAAAAAAGCCTTTCTTCATTAAAAGAAGGGTAAATTCTTAAAATTTAGGGAGTCATTCTACATTTCAACAGGCAGTGCCATCCTTTAAATCAGCAAAACTTACTAAGTTCTCATTTACATCCTCTGAGCAAAAATACTAACCTCATAAATCAGCTGCTGTATCCGAGAGTCCCTGTGTTTGGAGATATATGGTCATTTCTCCAAATGAAGGTAGAAGGTTTTATACAAAAGTGAACATGTCCTGTTTTTGTTGGATTGGCAGATCCAAGGAAAGTCCATGGTGCAAGCATGGTTAACATTCTAAGGACTTCCTGTGCATATACTGTACTTACATTAAGTGTACAATACCCAGCTTCACAGCCATCCCAGCCTCAACAAAGTCCCAGCTTCAACGAAGGCCAGAAGTGATATGCTTAAATACTGGTAGGAAGCAAAGAACTCTCTAAATCCCCCACACAGCAACAAAAGGCTTTTCTGTAAGTTAAGCCTGAGCTGTGTGAGAAATAAAATTGTAGTGATTGTAATGCAGTATGTAGCCATTGTAGAAAATCCCCAGAGTAACTCTAGTCTCACTTATGAACAAGTTGTAAACTACCTCATTCATATTTTAGAAAACTCAGCATCCATTTAACATTCATAATGTGTTCTAGTTCTTTAATAAAAAAAAAATGAAGGCCAAGTCACTTTGTGTCTATACAAGTTTTATCCCTTTGAACAATCTACTACTACATCCACCCAGCTCAATGAGTTTTTGGATTTACTCAAAGTCTATCACATGGTATCCACTCTGAAACTCCATCTTGCCAAATTCCACTTAAAACCGAACTTAAAGGGGAGGTGGAGAAATGGCTCAGTGAGGACCCAATTTTCAGTTTTCACATTGTGACTCACAACCAACTCCCTATCTAGGGCACCTAACACTCTCTTCAGGTCCTTTTGGGTACTCTAATACAGATATACATTCACTATCATTAATTCAATTTAGAAACTTCAATGTTAAAAATTTTTTAACTGATAATAGGAATTTTTAGCCTTATGCAACTCCTAAAAATTTCCAAATAAAAAGTTTTAAAGCTTAAGAGTCTAGAGAGATCACACAGAGACTCCATTAAAAAAAAAAAATCAATCCTGGAGCCCCTTGGTGAGATTGTTTAGTGATTGAAAGCACTGGCTGCTCCACCATAGGACCCAGGTTTAATTCCCAGCATGCACATGGTGGCTCATAACTGTTAACTCAAGAACACATATAGTGGAGACCAATGAAGGCAAAATACCAATACACATAAAAGATATACATTTAAAAGTATTTTTAAGAAGTTGCAAAGGTCTTCTTCCATTATTCTTCATATTTCTTTAAAGACTATACTAAAATGGACTATATTTGGGCATTTACCTATTGTGGAGTACTTCAGAAAAAGTCGACAAGACAGAAAACATACATTACTGGAATTGCACAATATTGATATTTTGGGGCCTTAAACAATCTTGTAATTCTCCTAATGGAGTGGAGTCCACCCATATTCACAAGAACACTATGACTCCTACACTAGAGAATGCTGACTCCTTCAGCTTTTTTCATACTTATTATATATATGCAGCCATGCACAGAGCAAATGTGTAAGAGTTACAGAACAATATTATTTAAATGTAATGGTATTATTAAATACTAAGAATATCATTATTAAAGTGAAAATATGACTTGCAGATTGTTCTGCAGCACCTCTAATCCATGTTCATGTGTGTGTGTCTGTGTGTGTATGTACCATGTGTAGGTAAGTACAACACACAGAGGCTAGAGAAGCGTGTCTTATCCCTAGGGCTGGAGTTACAGGAAGTTGTGAGCCACCTAGTGTAGGTCCGGGGAAGCGAACTTGGGTCCTCTGTAAATGCTCTTAACCACTGAGCCATCTCTCCAGACTTTCAAAAGGGATTGATCTCTTAAAGGAATTCTGATCAACCAATTCAGATTGGCTGTCTTGATTGACTGTATTCATTTTTCAAACATGTCGTTTTAAAAAGTATTTTATAACCAAAGTTTACATCTAACATTCATATATAATTTAGCATTCACATCCTAAATTATGTAAGCCCTATTTAAAAAAGATTTACAAGTCAAATAAATACTGTGTTACATGTAAAGGAAATAATTTTCCACAAAAATCTGACAGTTGGGAATACAATCATAACGCAGGTGTATCTACTAGTAATCATGAATACTTTGTTGGTTTTAAAAAGTTAAATTTAATGATAAAAAGTGTGTAAATTATTAAGCAAAACTGGCGAATTCCTTTTGGTTTTCATTTGTATGTCTAAAAATGTATGTATCATAGCCAGCAGAATTTTTCAGTTGAATTTTATTTTGAAAATAATACTTCACTTGAAGATTGTTCTAAAACACTTTAAGGTATGAAAATTTTATACAACTTATCTATTACAAATTAATCAGAATTCTTCAATTAGATACACTGTGTTAGCTCACCTACATAAAAAATATTGCACATTTTGTCTCCAGATATTACTGACTAAATTGTATAGAACTCCAAACTACTTATTCTGTGAAATGGCAACTTTATAAATATTGTAACTAAATGCACTGTAAACAGCCATCTTGGTAAACATGCATTTATTCACAGATTTATTTCCTTTAGATAAATGCGTAACTGCTCAAAATTAAGATGCTATGTCGAGGTACAGGAATGCACAAACAAATCTATTTCTGTCTTCATTTCGAGGAAACACTGATCTTGGCAAAAACCTGGCATTATTTTCAAATGAACTATTGCTGGTAAGAAAGCGTAATACTTTGTCTTCTGTGTTCTGCACTTGTACTTCTCTTTTAGTTGAAATTTGAAAAGCAATGTTTTCAGAGATTCAACTATCACTGTTTAAGTGTATTATCTTAAAAACTCAGACCCTGAAGCAGCTGAACACTTGGCAAAATGCCTACTACTCATTAAGCCATGACTCATTCTAGACCATTCACTGGTCGGTGGTTTTTGGAAACTGAGAAAATCAGACCATTTTAATGTTATGTAATTGACACAATCCTACATAACACAATATTCCTCCATTAAGCTGAGGTCATATTATATTTTTAAAATATAAATATATTGAATCCTAAGTCCTATTTCTTAATGGGTAACCCCAAGGTGTTATGCATGTAAAACAGGAGTGACTATATAGTTTCAGACTATTAGTGTCAAATAGTCATTACAAATAACGCTACTGGTGTAATGGCCTGATTGTTTCCAGCAATTTCATTTTACAGGAGTGAATAACATTTCATACAGAGAATATATTACTTGAACACTGCCCCACCCCCCCACATAAAAAAAATGTTTAGAAAGCTGATCAGATGACTTTAAAGAAAAGTAAGGTCATTTTCTGGCCCTTTCCCACACCTTTAAAATTGGAATTTGACAAAAGTCCAAGGGCACAATTTACAAACTTTGACAAACTATTCTTGAAGAAGATGTGAGTAACTTTTAAAACCTGTTATACAAAACTTCAGCTGCCTTTTTATAAAAGTACGTTCCTTAGATTAAAATCATAAAATTAAGGTGCAAGAGTTTAACAAAAATGAACTAAAGAGCTTTATTGACATCACAGTACATTCAAGAATAATTTTGAGAACATTACAGCTGAAAGAGAATGGCATATTTATAGTCTTATTAAGTACTATTTCTTGAAAAAAATGTAATACAAAGAAATCCTATTAAGTAACTTGGAGCAGCATTTGGAAAAAGACACCTATTTACAGAATTTAAAAAAAAAA